TCATAGTGGTAATTATTTTATTATTTAAAGAAAATGAAAAGAAAACCTGGCATTGGATGTATGTAAATCAAAAAGCATTTTTATCAATGCTTATCCAAAGCCGAAACAAAATTGCATTAGGTATAATGCTGGTCAAATAGGAGCTGATTTCTGTGTGATGCATGATGGAAACCTTCATGTTTCGGACGAGCATTTGATTTATCGATATAAAGTGCGCGGTAGACGTTATCAATTTCAATGGCCACTCAAGGAAATTAGAAACTATGGGTTTGGCCACAACATACTTTACTTCGAAGCGGGCAGGCGATGCCCATCAGGTCTGCTACTTACTTTTTTATTCATTTCAAGGCGCGGGAATTTACCTCTTTCGTTGTAGAAAGTCTCTCAAGCTCTTTCGTGATTTAAATGGTCGTGTCCATGAGTTGTACTCTACCAAAAGGGGTGCGAGTCTGTCGAACCTAGTGACCCATGTGAGTCAATTTTTTGTGCTACCTGCGCTAATTTACTTGCAAAGGTATCTTAACCATATTCGCCCTTTTCTAAGTTATTCTTTTCTTGGTGCGTTTACATTTCCTAACTATTACGGGGCAATACCTACATAAATTTTATGCTAATGTGAAAGTTACGTTGCTTTTTCTAGTGGATTCTTTCTACTTGCAGTTAACAGCCTCTCTCTTTTATAGATTCCAACTTCTGATATCGATTTAAGCGAAAGTTGCAGGCAAAGTGCCACCGCCGATCAGTTCTTGAAGAAGCAGCATGTTCAATCTCAGTCAACCTCTGATAGCCAATCTCTAAACACATGCGATTCGACTTTGGACTCGAGTAGCCAATTGCTCCTTCGTTCGAGTGCGGTGATGAATGAATATTTTGATCGTGAGATTTCTGATCAGGCTGTGGACCAGGCGACGCCTTCATCTAGGGGATCGCAACCGTCTGCGTATTTGCCCTTGTATACAACTTATGACTCTCATAGAGTTGCCCAAGTTTCTGACCTTTGTTATCTCGTTCCTGCGCCCCAACCCGAAGCTTCACATTCCTATTCTAATCAAGCTGCAATAATTGATTCATATTTCGATAATCATGCAACCGTTCCAGTTACCCACTAGCCTAACTACTTTTAGAAGTGGGTTGACCTCGTTGGCGCAACTTGGTCTTGTGTTCAGGGAGACTATGTAGAACGCACCGAGT